GTATAAACCAATAGAAGCATTGCGATTATATAATTCATGCACAGTCTATGAGCATAAAACAAAAGATGTGCAGGGTCAAGGACCTTTCGACATAAATCTTAGCCCGCCTGTTTGCTTCTTTGATGTTTACCGGGTTTGTTAACCATTTCCCTCTATTTTAAACTATGATTGCCCCAGTCAGGGAGCTGCAGCAAGTAAGTTCAAAGTGCCCAATTAGTTTTTGTTTCACTTGATCAATTCTCGGCTTGTGAAGAAACTATGCGGCTTTATGCGTTTGAGTAAATCCAGTTACATGTATGAGTTCACGTTCACTGACAACCGCAAAGAGAGATCATTCACATAAATTAAGCTATCGAGCGCTACTTTCATTTGGCGCTGTTTATTTGCTGTACAACGTAGGGTTGAAAACTACCGTTGAGCACAACTGCCGTGGCAGTGGCACAATAAGCCAGCGCTGTTGTTGTAAGTGCAATACTGTTTGTTACGCTTTGTAAGCGTTGCAAATGCTATGAATAAAACCCTTGTGATTCCTGGTGTTTGAGCATTACACTCAATTTTATGTCTGTACTGAAACCCTTAAGCCTGGTTTTCATTAACGACGCAAGCACAAGCACAAGCGCAAACACAAACGCAAACAATAGCGATGAGCCAAGTGAAAACGAAATTCGACTTAAACACACGCACAAGCAAGAAATTATCCGAACCTTCCGCTACTTTGGAAACCTGTTTAAGCGCGAGGTAATCTGGATCCAGTGTTTTCATTGGCCAAACATAACCAAGTGTGGTATATATCATTGTGCTTGTGCTATGCCTGAGCGGTATTTCGTTTTCACTTTTTGCAGAGCAAACGTAAGCACAAGCTCAAGCACTACAAGAAAAGGAGGAAACATTCTGATGCTTGTGCTTGTGTCTGTGCTTGCGTCGCTAGTGAAAACCAGGCTTTAAACGTGGCCAAAGAAATGAAATTATCATTTGTGAAATGGGTATGTCATAAAAGGTGACTTTGAACATTAAAATCCATGGATGAAACCCTAATTTGTGACCAAGGTACGGAACTTATTTTCTTAGTATATTTTCGATTCAAATACGAAATGCTAGTCTTTTAATAACGCTTGAACAGAAGCTGATGTACCACAAACCTTTGCATGTTCGTAAATTATAGGTCAGCTTATAACCAACAGGACACGTGCAAGTAAGCTTTCCTTTTTCCAAACTGCAGTTATGCGAACAACCACCATTGTTTTTCAAGCAAGGATCAATGTCTGCCAGAAGAAAAGAAAAAAAAATTGAATTTCAGCATCACTCCCTATGCAGTTGTTAACATATGTGTCTGACGGTATAATAATATGCATCAAGATATACTGGCGAAATGGAGAATATGTATATCACACAAAGCAATTCCTTGTTACAACAAGGGTCATACGAGTTAGCGGATAGGTGGAAAGGGCAGCGGTGGTGTAGAGTTCAGGGTGGGCAGACCGGAACGTGGGAAGCAGCTGGTTCCCCTAGTTTTATTTCCATCGTGTCTTGCTCCGGAAATTATGTTCCATTAGTACCTATATATTTTATCAGCCTGTTCGTGTCTAACAATTTGTCTGCAATTACAAGGGGCAGGGGTGCGAGGGGGAAGGGGGGGG